CATCTTCCACCTGGTGAACTCCTGGTCTGAAATCCCATCAGCCATTTTGAATATGAGAAACAAACCAGAACCTCTAACGTAAGAGGAGACCTTAAACAAGAACATTGTGCCCATCAAGAATTCATTCCAAAACCATGGGTGCTAATCTGCTGTTATAACAGCCTCCTGTCTACTTGTAACACACCTGAATGCAGGGATTTGCTCCTATTCAGCCCCAAGAGCATCAGTGAAGTCCAACACTGATGTTGGCTCACATAGACCTGGTCCAAACCATCCCAACGGTGTTGGATGAGGTTGAGGTCAGGGCTTTCTGCAGGGCCTGGAAACCTGAGTGTTGTCTTTAAATGCAGATTTTTGGATCTCCTAAACTAAAGCACACAACCCATGGAAAACATTCCCAGAGCAAAAGTACAAGTATATGGCCATATAGTGTATCATGGAGGATGGATGGCAAACATCGCTGAAGGACATACACGGTGAAACAAGTGTGATAGAGTGGGGTCTGAATTACTGCCTCACAGTAAATTAATAGCACAGAGTCACACTCTCAGACAGAGAGAAGAGCGATTGGATGAGTGCTGAATAATGACACACAGAGAAGCAGTAATCTCTGACTAGCACACTGATCTCAGCAGGTTAGAGCAAGGACATGAAAGAATAAAAAAGTGCAAGCTGTAGCTGACGAAGTTGTGAGGCAAACCACCAAGGATTAAAGTTTGTCATAAAAAGAGATAAGCAACCTTTACCCCCTGTAAGTGTATCCTGTAACCTCATTTTGGCTCATGCCCCGACTTCAACATGTCTGCTAATGTAACATCCACACAGCAGGCTCGTAGCAAATGCACACACACACACACACACACACACACACACTGCATATGAGGCAGCAGAGCAGCAAACGCGTGCCTCCACAATAGATTTCTGAGGATGTATGCTTTGAGAATAGCTGAGCTGCAGAATCACTGAGCGCTTTCATTTGCAGTTGAAAAACAGCCCAAGGAAAATGGGAAGCTTTTGGTGTGAGGAGTGTCTTTTCTCTCCTCTCTCATCTCTTTCTATTTATTGTTTCCTCTGTTGCCTGACTGCACTGAACTGAACTCATGGAGCCACGTTGCCCTTCTTTTATTATTATTATTATTATTTTTTTAAATTGGAGAGTTTGGAAATGAGTGCTCCTTAAAAAAAAGCAGTATCTCTATTTTCTCTCCGTCTCTTTCAGCTGGTGTTTGCCAGAGATAAGCTCTGTAAAGAGTGTCTCTGTCTGCATGTCGACAGAGTATACACCTCAGTGACCGTGTCATTCATCTCTCTTTATTGCTCGAGCTTGTGGGTGTGTATGAGCATGTGTGTTTGTGTGATAAATTCAGTTCTCTGGGGAGAAGTTTGAGACTTTAAAACACACACATGCGTCGCTGTACGTCTCTTCCTGGCTTTATGGACGGACATCTCTCGTCCCTCCACTCTCAGCCGCAGCTCTGGCATCGCGCCCTGTGTTTCGCAGCGCTAGCCGGCAGATTGATCCGGCTTTAATGAAGAGTCCTTCAGCCTAGGTGACATCATTAGCTGGTTGTGGGCCACTGTGGGCCACTTGGCGCAGCTCCTCGCTTCACTTCTGGGAAAATGGGTCATTTTGAGTGACAGACAGACAGTGGCCAGGGGAGCCGGCCAGTAAACTAGACAGAGGGGGTATGCCAGGCAGCGGCATGATGATGCCCTTCAGACACCTGTGCCTGTATTCACAAAACATTTTATCTCTGGACTAAAAGTACTTCTGAGGAGCCCTCAACAGTTTTAGTGAACAAATGCAAATCTCAGGCCAACTTTAGTAAGCTGATTGATGCCACAGCTGGTTTATGACTGAATTTGCCCATATTCTTTGTAAAAACCCAGAGAAGGGACATCATTTGCTAATAAAGTCAGTATTATGGGAATTATAGTAAGAATTTCTGAATGTACTGTTAATGCTCACTGACTGTCATGTGAAAAACCATAACATTATTTCTTATTCCATACAAAATACTTTTTACAGTGTCCCCAAGTTTGTGTCCTGTTTTTAAGTATGCAAACAAGTAAGGGAGCACACAAATATGAACTTATATGGAGCTAGATCTTTTAACCTTTTAGTCTCCCTAAGGTGGATATTTTTAATTCTCAGATGGAGATTGATGATGAGGCCTCTCTGACCTCTGACCTGTGGTAATACAATATATTTGGCATTAAACTTGATTAAGGCCATAAAAAAAGCCACACACTTTGTGTTGTTTCTTAGTCAAAAGTGATTTCTAAACATGTAAAATGATTGGCCTTATCACAGTGCTTTGAGCATCAAAGGTAAATTAAGGCCAGTCAAGGTCAGAAGGTGCTACATTTTAAAACTTTGTCATACCACAGCAAAGTCATGTTTAGCTTTATAGGGACCTAATGGGGTAAGCGCCACCTGTGTGGGCTTCTAAGCTAGGTTAAACAATACTAAGATTTATTTGTGAATACAAATAGACCTAGATCTGATACAGACTGGGCTATAAAACTAATAGTATCACATTTATGGTGCTATGCACTCACACTGAAGGGGAGGCAGAGAGTACAGGAAAATCTGAGAGATGTGGTTTGGAAGAAAGCTGGACCTGAGGAGGCTGCAGAGCCATCTCATCCATCTAACTGTCAGCATCTCACCAGGCAAAAATCACCAAGTTGTTCTGTCTGCCCCCGCCTTCACCCCCTCCCTCCCTCCCTCTCCATCTCTGCCCTGTATTGCCCCCTGTCCTCTTCTCTTTCCACACAGATATATGCAGACACAAACACAAACACACACCCCTGCGGCACGGTAGCTGAACATTGTAAATTTAGCACAGCAGCTGTTTTTGCCTGCCATAAAAGCGACACCCCTCTAGCTCTTCTGTCACTCCCTGCTCCCTCCTTTCCCCTATCCTGAATCCTTTCCTACATCCACACACTGCCCATCCATTTGTCCATATATACTGTATGTACCACCCAGACTGCTGTTTTAAAAAGAACGTATAGAGCACTTCCAAGTGCATCAGTCTTTCCATTCTTCCTGTGGCTCTGAATGTATGAGCTCATGTGCATTGTATCTGAGGAATTGTGTGCACCGTGAATGTGTAGATAATGTGTGTGCATGCCGACCACCAAAAATGAAAGGGGTTGTCTGTGAACGTGGAACATTTGATTAACATCATCCAGCTATCAATCCTCACAGTAGCACTTGCAACTTAAGAATAAGGGTGGGGTCTCTCAGATTTCTTGTGCCCAATAGCATGATTGCTATAGCGTTTCCATGGAACCCCACCCCACATCCACTTAACAATCCCCCAGATGCCTAATTGTTTCCCTAATGATGCTAGGCCTAATGGGACTGTTTATGGTATTCATTTGATAGCGCTGGCCCAGTAATTAGACTACACCTCACTTCATTAAACAGCAGGGGGGAGGGATGGCGCATGGTGGCACATCTAGTATATGCACATGCAATAGCACAAGTGAATTTTTTAACACAGTCCCCATGACGGACACCCCCAGAGACACACATACAGAAAACATACCGGAGAGAGCACAGTGTTCTGGAGGAATGACTACAGCACTTTACATTCAGAGTACGGCTTATATGCTTGCACTTTCTCACAGACATTTCTTACCAGCACCGCCTATCATTAGCTCCATTGTACAGTATAGTGTTACACTGTGCTGGCAGAGGGCTTCAATCAATATCCATGAGTTCTCTCGAAGTAAACAAGATGCTGAACTCATCGCTGGTTACATACTGCAACACCCTCCAGATAAGAGATTCAGATAAATAAACCGCCTTGAATGCAAATGTAAAAGTGGCCTACTGTTCCAGAAAGTACATACTTTATTGTCTATTCTACAGCATCTATTTCAACACTCCTGTGAGCAAGCGTAGCAGCTCCTAGTCTGGATGGAAATGTATTGACGTAACCTGCTAGAACACACTTGGCAACGTACATGTATCATACCTAAATGCACTTAAAAGATGAATTAGTGAGAATGAGAACATTTTCAGACAATATCATTTATGTGCGTTCAAAACAGAAATAGCTTCATAATGTGCTTGGCCGAGCTTACAGAAACCGTGAGGACAATTAAGGAAAAACAGACAATTGAGAGCAATTCCACAACTGTCTAATTTACACTTTAAATCATGCGAGCTAGTCACCATCTAAGGCTCAGCTGGGTAAACACAATCCTCTCCTTCGGTCCCTGTCCATGGTGCTGAAACTCTCCAACCTGTTAGTAAGTATCTAAGAGGCTGAGACATTCCCAGCTCTGTTTCTCCCCGTGTCTCTATCCATGGTGCTGAAACAGTCCTCTTTCTCTGTGCTCTACAGTCTACTTTAAAAAAATTTTAAACTATTTTTAGCGTCCGATTTCTGACATAGTGCCCCAAAACCCTCCAACGCTGCAATGAATAATGCGCTGTACATAGCACATGCACTTGCAACTTTTTTTCTAACAATGTTGTGCCACACTATCATGACAATCATTCATAAGTGTCCAAAATGTCAATTTAATGTTCATTATAGAGTAAACTACTGAGTGTATGCTATAAAGGTACAGGTTGTATGTAACTATCCATGGTGCTAAAACATTCCCACTCTCTCACTACTCTCTAACTTATTTATTCCTGTTTTTTGGTTGTATCTGGAATCATTACCACACAGTGCATTATATTAATGTTGGTCATTTTGAGTGTGTGATAGTGCACTGTATAGTTCCCTAAACAATTCCCAGAATGGGATGAAAAAAGTAGTGCCCACTATGGGACATACACAATATTTTTAATAACAATCCTACATGCAAAGATTGTCAGTGGTGATGTAGAATGAATGTCTGAAGTATCAATTTAGTTTTCACCAAAGCACTGGTTGAGTGGTTGTTAAAGGCTAAGCCTTCAGCTGTATTAATGGTTCTGAAACAAACTTTTTGTCTCTCTAGGGTCCTGAAACCCAAATATATGTTCATACCTTGAGGAAGGAGAGGTTGCGGTTTCGATCAATGCTGGTAATCTCCAAATTGCCCATGACAACTTCACAGTTCTCGTAGAGCTTCTTGAGGGTGCGGTACTGCTGGTCCAGGTCAGACAGGGTGCTCAGCTTGTTCTCGGTTCCAGGACAAACTAGAGACAGAGACAGAAGAAAAACAAACTGGTGTCACTTCTGTTTTTTGGAGCAAGTTGGCACGCTGAAATATGACGACAAATTTAAAAAGGCAAGTTCAAGCTTAATGGGCAGAACCAAAGATTTTCAGGAAAAGGGTACAATTTAAAATTCAATGAGGGTAATTTAAAAACAAGTATAATTAATGATGGTCATTATCTTGAAATTCCAACTAGATCACATACAGTAGGCTACCATACTGTAGCTGCTTATAAAGGTCAGACGGCCAGCTAACCTAGCTTTTTCAGTGAAAGCAGTAAAATTTACGTAAGATATCTCTTTTGCCAGGAAAACTCTTCTTTGACTGTACTTACTGAGGTTTTAACTAAGAAACCAGACTGCAGATGCATGTTCAATGACTGCTGGATAGCAGATTCTCTGAAAACTGTTAGAATCAGTGAGATAATAAATGGAGGATGAAAGAAAGAGGGCGGAAAAGACAGAAGACTCCAGGATTGGGGATTTCAGGGCTGAAACTATGCACTGTGTGAATATGAGATACAGACAGAAGCCAAGAAAGGAAATAAAGGGAAGTGAAACAGGAAGCATTGAAGGACAGAGGGAATAATGGCAGAGAAAGAATGGGTCGGGAGATTACGTAAATTGCTAAAAAGAGTGCAGAGTGCAGCAGACGTGACCCTCGACAATGACGGAGCTGCGAGAGTTGAGACTCGGGGAGGGACAAGTGGGGTGAGAGGGGTGGATATCATTTCTCTGAGGCAGTGACCTACAGTCTGGGTCTGGCACCGGCACACCGTTTAATCAAAGATATTCAAATTGCATTGGTTGACCTTTACAGAGGGTTTTCACTTGGAGACTTTACTCGGCCGACGAGATTACAAGACTTTGAAGATATTATAGTGAGTAGAAACAGCTCTATTGGTGTGTGGGAAGGCCGGGGCAATTAGAAAACTGGTACATTCTTCCATCTGTTTCAGCCACACACACACACAAACAACCATGAAAGCCGAGGAACACACAATCACACACCTGTCTCTCACATCTCTGATAGCTTCCAACAGCCTCTGGCAAACATCCTTTTACCAATCAGTGCTAATAGCACTGACACCTACAACTACAGCACATATATATTGAGCTCCGCTTGTTATTTCAGCCATTAGAAGGTGCAGAAAATAGGTACTAATGTTCAAAGTACTACATGACTGTTATCCTTCCTTAAAAATACCTTTAACAATCTTGAGGAAATAGGTTTATTTGTTGATCTTTAAATGACCATTTACTCTGTGATCTCAAACCCCCCCACAACAAACAAACATATAGTGTCTGTAAATGATTGTGTTTGTCTGCGGTGCTAATGATAAATGCCTGACAATGGACTAATGCAGAGGCTACCACTGTAATTAGTTCCTCCTATTTCCACCCATCAAGCGCTCCTTCCATCCCTGCCAGCCTTTCCACCAGTCAGTCCTGCTACCATCTGCTCAGTTCAGCTGGCACCGTCGCCACCTTAGCACGGGCATGACTCGAGGTTTGTGTGTTGGTGTGTGTAGGAACCGAAATGAAGCTTGGCTCAATGTAATTAAAACTGCTGATTAAAGTTTGTCAGTGGCTCAATTTTGAATAGGTCTCACTTTAGAATCTGAATTTCATTTAGCCAACAATTGCTTCTGGTGACTGGTGATTTGGTCTGTAATAGTGGGCAAGGAAATATTATTATTCCATGCTTCATATGCTTTGCTTGACCCTATTCAAACCTAATCTTTACTCATTTTCAGAAATGTTGTTTCTGCTGAGAAGGCCCCCAATAGATTGACCTGCTTTGGGATTATGTATTAGAACCTACTGGCAAATGGGTCTCTGAGTGAACGTCTTATAATCATGTTTTCCTGGGCTACCTCTTGTGGTTGTGTAAGCAAGTATTAGCTGTCCAACAATGCAACAACAAAGCCTGTAACTACAATACTGAATATTTTTTAAACCCTTCTTGTTTCCTCTAACTATATGTCTCTGAAGTAGTTTTGCTGTACTCAACTTCAATTCACTGCGTACTGTATGTTAGATTCTGTGTATCTTGTGCTGTAGTCACATGCTCTGGTCTGTGTTAACAATACTACTGGTACTTCTTTCTTTATCAGGGTATCCTTCAACTGTTCTGTATATCTTTCTTTATATTACACCTCCAATGTCAAACACCTGCACTCTTAGGACTCTCTGTGCAACTTCCTCTGCTTGAAACTGGTCCCAACTTTGTGGATGTCGATATTTGCTGGTTTTCTTAGTTTATATGATTGAAAACTGAATAACTTTAGGTTTCGGTTGGACAAAAGAAGGAATTAGAGGATGTTTCCTTTTTGGCAATTGTAACATTTTCCAACACATTTTGGACCAAATGATTAATTGAGAAAATAATTGACAGATCAATTCATACCAAAAAAGGCCTGAGATTTCAATCTAAAGAGATCACTGGTTAACAAGGGCCAAAAAAATGAACATAAATGTGTTAAAGTAAAGTTGAACGCTGTCTGTCATTTCACCTTTTGTCACGTCCTTTAAATACACCTGCAGTACACTTTCCATCATCCAAAGTTCATATGCTCTACATCCAAACTACAACAAAAAAGAGGGAAGAAAACCAATGGACTATTGCATAGTTGAACTTGCCCCTATATTGAACAACATTGAGAGCTCATAAACTCCAATATTGCTTTATGGATCGTTGGCTCTGCAAAGATGAGCGCATTTCCTCCCCTCTGTGATCCTCCATATTGCTGTGGGTACAGGCTGTGTGGAACAGAATGGCAGTGAGGGGACCTGAGCTATGATGATAAATGAGATTTGCTGACCACACACACACACACACACACACAGTTGAATTATTAGATGAAATGATTTGAGAGCGGCTACAAACTCAAAGGAAGCCTGTGTGAGGGTCTAAAATTGGTGGGATCGATAAACGCATGTGTGTGTGGAGATGAAAGGTTAGGGGCGTCTGTAATAATCTCTTATTGAAACCTACTTGGAGGTGTGTGTGCGAGTTTATGTCTGCGTGTGGTGATAAAAGATCAGAGGGGAGAGGTGAAAAGTGAGGGGGAAAACAACTCTCAAAAGCCAATATCGGCCTGACAGCACACACACAAACACACACCCAGACAAAGAGAGAAATGGTACTCATTCAGGGTGAGTAAGCAAGGCAAAGAAAATAGAATTGAAAGAGAGAAAGAAAGAGAGACACAATCTTGTATTTGTGAGAGTGGGAATGACGTCCAGGAGCATTAGCATTCATATCGACACGCTCTACTGTAAATGCTCTTTTCTCTGGGCTCATTTCGAAAGTGTCTAGATCCATCTGCTCTACCTCTTCCTCTCTTTCCGTTCCTAATTTCTTTTTCTCTGCCCATAGCCATCTATTTCTCTATCTCTATCCCCTCTCTCGCTTCCTCCTTTCTCAGGCTCAGCGTTGGACAATGTAAGTATTGAGCCGTTGCCTTTTTCCCTGTTAATGCATCGGGTGACACGGGGCCACGTCCACTTGACAAGTACGGTGTGTGTGCCTGTGTGCGTGGGTGTGTGGCGATGATGGTGGGGGCAGATATGTGCCAATCAGGGAAATATAGGCAGAATATCTCCACAGTTGTGTCTTTGCATGGACGAAGACAGACGAGGCATCTCATTCATCCAACCTTGATTTCTTCAAACCTTGAGGGTTTAAATTTTCTAAACTTATTAGCAAAACCAAGGTATCAAAAGGGTGACAGTGCAAAAAAAAAAGCTCATAAATGTTGTCTTATTTTAAAACTGTGGTTTTATTTTAGAAAGACATCCTGTTCTCTCATGGCTGATTTCTGTTCTCATGGTAAAACTGTTTTTGACTGGCTGGCAGGTGGCCATTAAATCATAAAACAGGACACCTCAAACTTGCTGCAGTCAACAGTTTTATCAATCTGGTGAAGGAAATGGACCACCATTTTGCCGCTTTTCTTGTCTGCTATTTTCAGACATGTATCACAGCTTACATACAATTTATTCAGACTGTCAGAAAGCTTTTTGCTCATTCTGTAAAACTCCATGATGTATGCCCTGTGCTGAAATGCATTGGTTGTACAAAAATACTCTTCCATTGAGTTTTCCCACATTAAGTCCTCTGTTACTAAAGCACCGAAGAACGAAAGGATAAAGAATGAGTGAGCTCTTTGCAATACTATTGCATAGTACGATTCTTTCCGATTTTCATGCCCTCAGCAGTCCAATAGTGCAGATACCAGACCCCATGACTCAATGGCTTCACTAGTCAGTTTCCTCATTCACTTTGATGACATCCATGTCTTTATAACTAACAGATAATGAGCAATAATGAGAGAAAAGACTTGAGTTGGCAGCAATTGATGCAAGATTATTTCCCCCCATTTGGTCTCCGTCCAGCTCAAATACAGATGGAGTGTGTGCATTATATGCTTGCATCTGTGTACCTTTTTCTGTAAATACATTCTGTGCCCGAGTGTGTGTGTATTCTGGCTCCATGAGGCTTGTGTATGTGTTTGAATCCATGCATATGCATTGAATTAACAAAACTTCTACCAGCTGCATAACCCAGTTTCGCTGCTGTGCCGTGTATCCCTTCAAGTCACTTCTCAAGCTGAAAGTGACTGAATTTAATCTCCCTAAACTGAATTAGAGCTTAATCTTGCCTCACATCATTCTTCCTGGAATGGACAAACGAGTTTAGTCGGAGCACCCTTGAATTTTTAGATAGCAGTAGTGATTAATGCGGGACAGGTACGAGCAGGGAAATGTGTGAGCTTGTACACAATGTGGTTTTGGCTATAGAGCCCATTTTTGATCCATCCATAAAAGTGAAAGACGAAGGCAGACAGTTATACCCCCCCACACCCCCCTCGCTTATTCTCACTGACATATTGAGCTGTGCTTGTTCTCATTTCTCATTTCATCTCTTCTGCTTCACATTGCTGCCTTCTCTTCTTTGGCTTTTATTCTCTCTGAG